CTGGTGTCTCTTCCTCTTCTTATAAAACTATCAATGTTATCAGATTAGGAGCCCCCCTTTCACCTGATTTAACTTTACCTCCTAAAAGTCCTATCTCCATACATGGACACAAGGGGGTTAGGGCTTCAATACATGAAATGGAGGTGGGGGCTACAATTCAGTTCATAGCACTTACCTTCCCTGCACAGCCTTCTTTCATCTCCCTAAGCATAGTCTTCACTAAAAAAAAAAGGATGAAAGAGGATATCTTTCCTCTTTCGAATGAGACAGTTTAGATACCCCTGACCCAAACATTTTTATGGATATTAATAGTGTTGAACATGTAAATGAGTAATGAAAAGATAATCCACTCACACTCAAATGGATAACTAAGTCAACTTATGAAGGCTATGAAGACAGAAAGCAAGGTCAAAGAAAGACAATTAGAATCTGCAAATTTGAGTTTCCAATGTCACAACTTGCATAGTTCCTGGTACTAAATAGACCCTCAATGTTGAATGAAAAAATAGTTTCCAATAATGGAAGGAGATTAATATGAATTAAAATCAAAGCCAGAAATAGCTTCATTCATTAATGTTTATTCAAAGTTAAAGTTGACCCAAAATGACTTCCCTTTCAAAATCAGGTTTTCAAAATATAAAACTGTAGCATTTCAAACACAGATAATTACATTTCTTATCAAATGCACTGATTCTTATAAAATAATTCAGTTTAATATATATCCAGTTTAATTAAAATTTATAAGTGGTTGTGGACCAAACCAAGTGTATCTTAATTAGATCTGAACATGGCTCACAGATGTTCAGGTCGACCCCAATTTTAATAAAGGAGAAGCAAATATAATCATTAAAGACTTGGCTGAGTAATTTTGGTCAGGTAGAAAGCAAGACGAATGGGAGGCCAAGACGGTCCCTTCTACTCAAGGCTGGAAAGTAAATGATTCACTAGCTGGAACATACAGAAAGACGGGGTGACCTGTCCAGCAAGCCACTGAAATGGAACTAGGGATCTAATGGATGAAAACTCAAGTCAACCATCAAGTAACAAACTTACGCCCAATAAGGAGGGAGAGGGCAGCTACTCTGACAGCTCGCACATCTTGGAAGGTCCCAGTCACTTCTGCCACTGATCAAACTAATTGTAAATGGAGACGGAACTGTCTCGGCAAGGCCGATACTGGAGACTGAGGGCCCACCTGAATAAGGTTACCAGATAAAATACAGAGCGCCCAGTTAAATTAGAACTTCAGATAAACAATGAATAATTCTTGGCTGTAAGTATGTCTGATGCCATACAAGTCCTGTATTTTTTTTCCTTAAATTTGGAGCCCTCTGCATGAACTGTCCAGGCCTGTAACAAAAGGTTTGTCAAGGAGTTTCCTGTAATTCGAATATAAACCACAACATTTGTGACGCAATCATCATTAAGGACCGCCAAAAGCCTGAAATGGTAACTGCGCCCCTGAATTACAGTGTTGCCAGCCCTTGGAGCAGGAGGGGAGACAACCTGCATTTTAACATTCGGGTCATTCCTATCCACCCGGCTGGGAGTCCTTCTTTTTAATGTGTCTCCCTCGGCACAGACCAGACTCGGAGAAATGCGTCAGTCAGAGGGAACTATGCCAGTCAGAAAATCGATCTAGAAACATTTATTTCAGGTCTCTTCTGTAAACAGAGCTGTGCTGTCGATCGCATAGGAAATGAAGCCCCACTGCACCTCCACACTCTGGGAGACACCCCTGGAGGGAGATGCGGCTTTTCCAAGATTTATCTGGGTCTTACTGGCAGAGTTAAGATTAGTGCTCTACTGTTATAAATTATCCTTCCACGACTTTTTCAGTACATCATAAAGTTTGTAAGTGCTACTGACGCTCAGAAAAAATATTAATCTCTTCCAATTTGGATGTTCAGCAAAGATTTAGATAGGTTAAGACATCGTTCATTCATTGCTTCATTCAACAATATTTATTCATTATCAACTCTGTGCCCAGCACTGTTGTAGATTCTGGGCCCGCAGACCAATGCCTGCTGGTAAGGAGACTGACAGATTCTCACCACATCTTTTCCTGCCTCTGCCGAGCATAGCCAGACTGCATTTCCCAGCCTGCCTTGCAGCTATGTGGCCACGTGACTGAGCACTAGCCAGTGGAATGTGGGCAGGAGTGATGTCGGGTGTTCCCAGGCCAGGTCCTTGATAACCTTCAGTGTGAAAGTCTCCACTATCCCTCGCCCCTGTGTGCCAGCTGGAGGCAAAGGATCCAGCAGAGAAGTCCCAGCAGAGGAAGGAGGAGCCACAAAATGTACCTGGAAGGCTTGTGCACTAAAGGCTCACATGGAAACTGCCATTTGAAGAAAGAAAATAATCCTCTACTGTGTGAAGTCATTGACGTGTAGAAGTTGTTGCAGTAGTTAGAACACCATGATGTATGCCGTGGTGAGATTTATAAGGGAAGTCAGGTAATGGGCAAATACACAAACAAAGATGGCTATAATTACAAATTAATTACAACCTGAGAGTGGTCTTCAGCAACAGCCAGAGTGCAACAATCAAGAATAACTGAGATGCAGGGGGCTGCTTTGATATGTTTGGACTTGGCTAATAACAAGCCAATTATAACAAGGATGACATGGGGAATAGCGAATGTGTACAGAGCATTCCCTCTGTGGCAGCCCTGGGATAAGCACTTTATGCACCTAATCTCATTTCCTCTCACAACAACCCTATGAGTTGGGGATTATTATTATCTTCACTTTACAGGCGAAGATAAGGATGCTTGGGGCCAGCACAGATTCTGATTAGCCAAAGCCTATGCTATACCAGTTGTTAAGTCTTTTTCATGTTGCCCTGGGTTGGGGATGAGTGATGGGGAGTATTTCAGGTAAAGCAGCTGCTCTCATTCAGGGCTGATTTGCCACCCAGAGACGTTTAACATGTCTGGAGATATTTTTAGTTGTCACAGCTTGGCGTGAGTGGATGTTACTAACATCTACTTGGCAGAAGCCAAGGACACTGACAAATGTTCTATAATGCACATGACAGACCCCCACAGCAAAGAATTATCCAACCCCAAATGTCAATAGTGCTAAGGTTGAGAAGTTCTGGAGGAGAGAAAAAAGTGTGTGCAATGCCCCTAAGGCGGGAGAACCCCAGTGCAGCTGGCGTTGAATGTACATTAGATGGAGTAGAGCAAGTTAGCAAGGTAGGTGGGGTGCCCAAGAGCCCCCTTGTAAGCTATGGTGAGATCTGGGATTTCTCTTCAAATGTAAAGGGGAGCAAAATGGGCTACTGATGACTGCTATAGAAAATAGAACGGAAGAGAGATCAGGAGTTAGAAAGTTGCTACTGTGGGCCAGGTGAGTCATTAAGGAGCTTGGAACGGGAGTGATGGCAGAGGTAGAGAAAAGCAAATGGATTGGAACTATACCTCAGAGATGGACATGGCAGGATTTCTCGATGGTTTGCAGGGGTTAGACGGATGAGGAAGAGGGGGGAGGCAAGGACGATGCTCAAGACTCTGGCCTTGATGGGTGTCATTTACTGGTTGTGGAAAAGGGAGAGGAAAGTGGGAGGAGGACATGGTGATTCTGAGATGCCTGTGAACCAACAAACCGGATATATGAAGCCGATAGTGGGATGTGCAAGTCTCAGGTGCGTGTGAAATATTTGGCCTGGAGATTTACACGTGGGAGTCATAAAGACAAATCAAACCTTTCAAGGGTAGAGAGAGAAGGAAGACGAACATTGAGCCCTCAGGCCCTCAAATAGTTAGCAGACAGGGAGAAGCATGGGATAAGCAATGGAAAAGAGAGAGGAGAGGCCAGATGAGGAGAAAACCTGGAGTGTGATGTTCTGGACAGGAGAATGTCTTCCAAGGGACGAGTCATCACCTGTCCCGTTAGAGGGAGAAGCTGGATGAAATGGAGTGTGGAGGCCATTGGTGACCTTGAAGAGAGGCAGTTCAAAATAAAGGCAAGTGAAAGCCAGATTTGAAGGGGCTGAGAAAGGAAACAAATGGAGAAGTATGCGTAGACAATTCTTATGAGAATCAGGAATTTTTACCGTGAAATGGAGCAGAATAAGAGGGCAGTAAGTGGAGCAGGAAGGGTCAAGGAAGATTTAAGAGGGTCAGAAAAACCACTGCTTGTTTGTATGTGATGAAAAATGATCCAGCAGAGAGAAATTGGCCATGCCGGAGGAAGGGGAAGGAACGCGAAGGAGTTAAATCCTTGAGAAGACAGGAGAGGTGGTGGCCTCCAGAGAGCGTGGGACCAGCCTGAGGAGCGAGACTGGAGAAGGGCTTCTTGGGTAGGTAGGTCTCTAGACTTGATGGTGCTAGTTTAGATGTTTCCATCTAATTTCTCCTGTTTTCACTGCTAACTAACACCTAGCTGATGACCTGGGGGTAGAACAGTTAGGAAGGAACTGGGGCTTGGAGATTCAAGAAGAAAAATTGAGACGTGAAATAGGTCTCCCAGAGAATGGAGAGGAAATATGCTAGGGGAAAAAATGCATTTGGCGGGCAGTGTTGAGAACTCACTGGAAGTCTGAGACCAGGAATTTGAAGTGAATTGAATCAGCCAAGTTGCCTGAAATTCTACAGCTACAACAACAGCTCAGATACAGGCCTACACAAAGCAAGGGGTGCGTGTTTCCCAGCCCGGAGTGTGATGGAGTTTTTCCTGGAGTGGAGGATTCTCCAGTGCACACCCAGATCCTCCTTCAGGAAGAGGGAGTCAGTGCCCCAGCTGGCCGGAGCACTGCTCGCTGATGGCTCACGGCCCAGTACCCCCGTGGGACCTGCCCACGGCTGAAGGGAGCTGCTCCACACCCAGTCACCAACGGTCAGCACAGGGGGCAAAGGCCTCTTTACCTGGATGAAGAGACGCATAAAGAAAAGACATAGGTCATTCTTTACCATCAATGGGAAGAATCATGACTTTTCAGAGAAGAGAAGGAGGCAAGTTAGCCATTTTTTTTAATAGTCTTTATTTTTTAGAGGAGTTTGAGGCTTACAGTAAAATTGAACAGAAAGTACAGAGAGTTCTCATTTACCCCCGTGCCCTCCTCGACACACAGCCTCTTCCGTTATCAACATTCCCCGCTAGAGGGGTACATTTGCTACAATCGGTGAATCTACGTTGATGCATCATTATCACCCAAAGTCTAAGGTTTGCTTAGGGTTCACTCTTGATGTTGCACATTCTTTGGCTTTTGACAAACGTATAATGATTTGTATCCACCATTACAATATCATGCAGAATAATTTCACTGCCCTAAAAATCCTCTGTGAAGTCACCATTTTGAAAGGGTTCTTAAATTCATTTTCTAGGCTGCCATAACAAATTACCACAAACTTCATGGCTTAAAACAATAGAAATCTATTCCCTCACAGTTCTGGAGCCCCAAAGTCCAAAATCAAGGTGTTGGGAGGGCCGTGCTCCCTGGGGAAGAATCTATTTCTGCTTCTTCAAGTGTCTGGTGGCTGCTGGCATTCCTCAGTGTTCCTCGGCCTGTGCGCAAACACATTCTCCTCCGTGTCTCTTATAAGCATATTTGTCATTGGATATAGGACCGATCCAGATAACCGGATAAATCATCTCAAGAGTCTTAACTTAGTTACATCTGCAAAGACCCCTTTTCCAAATAAGGGCACATTCAGCGGATTCCAGAGATTCGGGCATGGACATAACACTTGCGAGGCCACCTTTCAACCCACTGCAGTTTCTTAGCGGTTACTCCCTCTGAATAGGGTGTCGTGGGGACAGAAATATCTCTGACCTTCTCTGCCAAGTAGAGAAGAGGTGAGGATCCTGGACTCTGGGCATGAGAGAGATCGGAGGCCATGCTGGGCTCCACTAAGGATGGAGCTGGGAGGGGAGGGCAGAGGTGGCTCAGAGGTGTCTGACTCTGACACCTTCAATACTTGAGAATTAGATAACTCCCTCATAGTCATCCTTGTATGCCATTCTCAATGACTTGTGCTAAACCTAATTGTCCAAAAATAAGTGATCGACAAGCAAACCCAGAGCAGATGCAGCTGTTTTAGTAATTATGTGCCCAGCAATGTACCTGCACCAGAGCTGAGACAATGAAAGGAAAGGAAGGAATTTCTGGCTTTCATTGGGGCATGTCGACTGTCAGCGGGACAGACCCCTGCTATGCAGCAAAATGTCAGAATATTTTAAAACAGTATATGTCGATATCTACTCCCACTCCGGGGATACTCAGGTATATTTTCCTTGAGTTAATAAAATGGTGGATTAATTTTCTCTTGAAAATTCTTCTTGAAAGGTTATTGCTTGTAAAAGCATGGAATTACAATCGGCTCCCAACCAGTTTTCAATCAGATTCTTTCCCAAAGCACCACTGGGCACCAATTGTCTGGATCTGGGGTGCATTACGCCAGAGCAGCACCACAACAGGGCAGAATCTCCAGGTCAGCCCTCTTGGAGTCTAATTGGAAACGTTTTGAGATACGGCAACTTTGCAATGAAAAAAACAGTAAAGAATATAGTTCCAGTAGTAATACTAAAACATCAAAACAGTAACATACAAAAAGGCTGTGTTATTAGGTCTCCTGAATTTTCATTGAAGAGAGCCTGCTTTGAGGAGGGGGAGGGGAGAGAAGGAGGTAGAGAGTCTGCAGGAGTTGCTCGGGCACCCCCAAGACCCCAGCAGTGGGTGCTACCTGTTCATTTCACCTCCAGTTCCACCTCGGGAAAAGCTCAGGTCACCCCAACACAGGGTGACAACTAGCCTGCTGGACACCCTTCTTAGCAAAGGGTGACAATGGGTTTGCTTGTCTTGTCCATGTTGGTTTTTTGATTTTGCTTTCGATTTTGGCTCACCAATAGAGTTAAGAAAGAGAGAGAACAGGAAATGTTCTTGATGTTTCTGAGCAAAATTATAGAAAAAAGAGTGGGAGGAGGGTAAGGTAGGCAGGCCTGAGGATCTGAAGATGTTGTGAAAGGCAGAGACCGATGAGTGGGGCAACGCGAAATGGTTGGGAGGTGTGAGGGGAAGCCCGGAAGGCACTCTGCAGATTATAGAGCCCTTCACCTGCGTTCCAGGTCCCCACGCCCCAACTCCCACCTCCCCGCCTTGGAAAGGTGTTCACTCTGATAGCCACTGGGGAAGAGGAGGGACTGGGCAAAGTGGCTCTGGTATATACAGGGAGTGAGTACCTCTGGAATTGCTGGGAAGGACCACATGACGGGGAGGTGGCTGGTGAGAGGCTGGCTCCATGTGAGGATGAGGCAAGGGGCTCTGCCGTCCCTAGAGCCACCATCCGCTGGCCTCCACCTTGCATTTGGGGGATGGAGGTGCTTGTGAGCATCCTGGGCCATCAAAAAGGGAGGCTGAACATGCAAGGCAATGCAGATGGGCTAAGCAAATCACAGGGTTCAGACTGACCTCTTCCTACACCTTCAGGTGACTTCAAAGGATGACCAATAGAAGGGCAAGGATCATGACTCCCAGCAGTGCCTATATGTGGGGTCACTCAAACGTTGACAGGAGAGTCTGCGTGGACTGGTTCATCCAACACCTGGCTCCCAGGGACCTGGACAGAACTCGCTGGACTGGACTGACTGATCTGTTCTCCCCATGTTCCCCTGACCCAGCCCATTGTTCCCTGAACCACAGACCTCTCTTTCTGCTCCTTTCCTCTCCAGTCCCCCAGCCTGCACCTCCACACAGCACTGACTTTGTGACAGCAGGGTGACAAGATGGTCTGGCCCTTTCTCCATTTCCCCCAAATCTGTTTTTTTATAGCATAAACAGTATAAATCTATACATTGGAACTTATTTAGCTTTTGATAGTCAACGACAAGTCATTGAATTTTGAACACCTTTTTCTCTTTCAGAAGGGCTAATTCTTGCAAATCAATGGCCTTGAATCTCAAGAGTATTGTCTTTTCATAAATTCTGGAAGCCACCTAAGAAACTGAAGTAGAAAGATGCGATGTCTCCATCATCTGCACTGTTCACTGTGCATGACCTTGACAGGAGAAGAACGTGGAAGGCCCCTCTCCATGGAAGCCTGAGAGCAAGGAAAAGTAGGTGTGAAAAGCACCGAAATGTGTATGTTTGGTGGTATATTATACTGGCTAATAAATCAAAATATTTTCCCACAATAGCAGTTGGATAACTACTGCAAAAAGTATCTTATTTGCTTCTCAAACAGTGGGTGCCAGTGCATGTACACGTACATGTGTATTTGCCTAAAATACAGGGGGACACTGCTTTTGAATAGGAGATGGCTGGGCAGCGGGATTCTGATTAATTTATGGATTTCTGAATTATTCAAATGTTCTGCCCTGAACGTATACTGTGATTACTGTTAGAAATAAATAATAAATGTACTTTTTTAAAAGAATGAACAATAAAAGTAAAATAAAATCGTTAAAATAAAGCCTTTGATTGTGTTGAGCGTTTTTAAATGACACTGTGTCACAACTGAGGAAACTGGTGCAAAGGGACATGCCTGTAAGTGTAGAGGGTCGGAGACAAGCCAAGTCTTCACCCCTCTTATCCTGTTGTCTCCAGGGATCAGGGCACATGGCAAAGAGCACCTGGCTCTTCTAGATCTCTCTGGCTCTTTCCAGTCAAAGAGTTGATTCTTGCGGACATTCGCCAGGCCAGGGCCTTTGCATCCTCCCCTTCTCTAAGCTCCAGTTCCAGAGGATGGGAGGTTTCCAGAATCAAGACACTTTGAGAATCTTACTCTATTGTCAGAGGCCCAGAGTGTCCTCCTACATGTAAGTGTGAACATACGATTCCAGAAAATGTGCTCACCTCAACTCACCCTACAGAGGAGATGGGGCCACTTCGCCTTGGCGGAGTCTCAGAGCTGGATTCATTCTGAACCCCACCCCAGTCTGAGAACTGCCTGGTGTGGTAGCTGAAGAGGGGCCCCCCGAGATGTCCATGTACCAGTCCCCAGGCCATGTGAATGTGTCCCTCGATATGTCAAAAGAACACTGCTGATGTGATCAAGGATCACATCAAGGGGATCAAGGGGAGATTACCCTGGACCATCCAGATGGGCGCAAATTTGCAAGCAGATCAGAATGTTGCAGTCAAGCAATGAGCAGCCTTAGAAGCTGGATGAGCCAAGGAATAGATTCTCCCCTGGAGCCCCCAGGCGTAACCAGTCCTGTCAACACCTTGATTTCAGCCCGGGGAGACCCATTTCGGATTTCTGTAACCCCCAGAACTGTAACAGAATAAGTGTGTGTTGCTTTAAACCACTAAGTTTGTGGTCACTTGCTACAGAAGCCAAAGGGAAAAAATTAAAGCCAGAGGGAGGTCCCTCCTTTCCATGGCCCCTGTCCTAATGGGATGATGGCAAGTCTTCAAGGAGTCTTGCCTGTTACAAGGCTGCCGGGTTGCCTGGGGTTCACTCATGCTGCACAGTCAGCACAGGAGCCTGCAGGGACAGGATCAACACAGCAGGCTGACAAAGAGCCCCAACCCCGTCTGCCTTTGACTCACTTGCTTCCGGGGCCGGGATCTTAACGCTTCATCATTATAAAGAAGTCAGTGTAAGTTCTGTTGGTGACAAGAATCAGCAATTCATGCTGCTATCTTCTTGATCAGAGGCAGCAGACTGAAATTCAAAAGGCAGCTGAGTAAGAAGGCAACACGGAAGCCTGGCAGGTCCAGCGTAGATGTCACAGGTGCCAGTTCCAGCCCCGGCTGTCTTAACGACCCGTCCAGTGTCCTGAAGAGCATCCTTTAAATCGTTTGCATTTCCAGCTCTTTATCTATAAGATCGGGATTAATCATACCTTCTCTCCAAGGATGCTGTGAAATCCGTTAAATTAAGTCGGTGTTAATTTTCACACTGCTATTAGCCAATGACTTGAGCACAGCCTCATAGACGAGGATTTTAAACACCTTTGAGCCAGGTGAGAGAGCTGTACCGTTGTTGCATATTTCCTGAAACAGGCGTATTTGACGCATAGCCTGGCAATGGAGCAGAAGATGGGAAAGCAAGACTGTTCTGGAAAAGAGAGAATCTATCATCACTGGTTAGTCACGTATCTCCCAGGAATACTCTGCTACAATGTTTCCAAGATGTTCAGCTCCAAGAACATTTCTTCAAAGTGAAATGCAGGTAGAGGCCCAACGTGTAAAACTGGCCAATGTGGCGTTATTCGGATCCACATGGGGAACAGATCTCAAGGCCAGGCCAGCTCCCCTGTGGCTGCCCCAGACTCTCCGGAAAACCTTCACACAGAAAACCTCAGGGGAGCTCAATTCCAAAACCAATGCCCCATTCTGTCCTCATGTGAGCCAGTGGTCCCATCCGCTCTAGAATATTTTCAATGAAAACCAGGACCTTTGACACAAAGAAAAGAGGCCCAAAATTATTGTCTCTTCGGGCAAATATCAGATTAGTACCAGAGCGTGAATTATGGGGCAGACGGGAACTACAAGGATCCTATAAATCAGCCCCTTGTTTCACATGGCCCCCGTCACCTGACTTGCAGCCCGTGCTATTTATATGAAACCACATGGCCTCTCACACCTTCTCATACTGTGTCAGGTTTCCTCTCTCCACATCTCTGATTTGCCGCTCTAGGAGTTAACCCCTTCTGGCCTCCTCTCCATTCTTCTTTCATAACCAGCTTCATGTAGCTATATATGCCTAAGAAATCTCTCTCCTAGATGGGCCTTCCTTTCAGCTTCCAATAATTACAGGCTAGTAGAAAATAAATGTTCATATATGCCAAATGCAATCCCATTAGTTAATAAAGGAAAGGCCAGAGAAAGAGAAAAGGAAATCTGAAAAATAGCACAACTCACAACACAATAAATGCCGGGGGTGCATACACAAATAGCTTTCAATCAGTGCAGATGTTAAGAGTGGGGTTTTGAGTGCTTTCTGGGGTCCTGACATCTCATCATAGGTCCTGTTGTTTTCATGCCCTGGACGCCCTGATGCCAGGTAACCCTTTGCCCATTACAACTCCCAGGCCTGCCCCTCACTGCCACCCAGTTCTACCACCGTGACATGGCTCCTGCTTGGCAGCAGACAGACACTAAGGTGTGGAAAGGGATGTTAAAGGCAGAAAGCCCCTACCTGGGAAGGTAAAGGCACAGGCTATTTACTCAGAGCTGGCTATAGTGAGGAGTCGGCCACTGTCACCTGTGTTTTGGCAGAGACTCAAAGGCAGGTGGAGGAGTAGGGGAGCTTCATCATGGAAAAAGGGGAGGTTCAGACATGCCCTGATGGAGGGTGTGGTCCTGGAGAGGCTGGAGGCGGGCTGGCTAGAAGCAGGATGTCCTGTGTGATTCGTCAGCGTGCACATTTGGCTTCCTCTAGTTGGTCTTACCTTGGAAGTGGGGACAAAAATTAGGGAAGCTGTCAGTTATTAACGTGGGGCCAATCATTACATGGGTTGTTGCTTAGCTTCCAGGATTGTTACTAGAGACAGTGGTCTGACTTCCTACAAGTCTGACCTACAGCAGGCAGGCTGGCTTCCTGAGCTGGCTACGGCAATAATGGGTTGGTGTCCTGGGCTGGTTGCTACAGGCCGTGGGTCAGAGTTGTATTTTTATATATGGTCTGGCCATTTCCACTTGTATATTCAGTCTCCCAGGCAAGTAAACCAAGCAGCCGTCGTTCACTCTATCCTCATCAACCTCCAGTGGACAGGGGAGTGCAGTGGGCTGAATGGTGGTCCCCAAACAGGTATGCCCACGACCTCAACCCCATTACCTGTGATGTGACCTCTTTTAGAAAAAGAATCTTTGCAGGTATGATTAAGCTAAGGATCTGGAGATAAGATCGTCCTGGATTACCCCTTGAGCCTTTAACTTAACGACAGTGTCCTTAAAGGAGACAGAAGCGGAGTTGACCAGGAGAGGAGGAAAAGGCCCTGTGAAGATGGAGGCAGAGATGGAGGTGATGCAGCCACAAGCCAGGGAATACCTGGAGCCCCCAGAAGCTGGAAGAGGCAGGAGGATCCTCCCTTCAGAGGGCATGGCCTTGCTGACTCCTTGACTTTGGACGTCTGGCCTCCAGAACTGCGAAAGAATAAATTCGTTGTTTCAGGCGGCCAGGTTTGTGGTAGTTTGTTAAGGCAGCCTAACACAGGGGCTCTTGTATGCATGGGCATCAACCCTCTTCCTCCAGCCCTGCTTTTCTGAGGGGGAGAGACATAGGAAAAAGGACATTTCCTATACCCAGTTCAAATAAATAAAATATTCAAAAGAAAATCGAAAATTTCAAAATTTTGGTATTTCAGAGTAACTTTGTATTTCATAACATGGATATAAATATTCAGACTTATTTTTGTTTCCTTCCAGATGTTTGGCCTTTTATAGATACAGATGTCCTTTGGTATGTGATCACCATTCCCTTGAGAGTGTATCTGTGGCTATTTACTTAAATGGACACAGCAGCTAATATCAGTTATATGTAGGTGATTAAGAATAAACATAGCAGAAGAGCTTGTTTATAGCACTGGGATAACATGCATGACGGGGCCACACACAAGCTTGTAACCTGAGAAACTGTAACTGATTTTGGCATGTTTAGGATTTGGCAAATTACCATCTCCACGCTTCTCTGTCCCCTCTTTCTCATCTCTTGGCCTCTTTTACCTGTGTGTTCTGGTCACTTCTGAGTTAACTTTAGTATTTTAGAAGCAAAGAAATGTGTCTATAGCAAAATGAATATTACGTTTCTTTCCAAATTAAAACCCCAAATTGTTCAAATTCTGGATTTATTACCACTTTTCCCAACGCAACATCCTTGTCATATTGTCCCTGATTAACTCTAGTAGTGTCTTCATTTCCAAATCATAGTCTAGAGATGTGATTAACGTGCAGAACAAACGCTCTTGGGAATTCGCAGCAGAGCCTTCCCAACCTCGGCATTCGGCAGTCATCACGGCATGCCCACGGGGGATCACGCAGCGTCCCAAAACGTATCCCCAACCCCAGGTGGGCAAATTCAGGTCCACATAGAGGCAAACATTTGGAGGATAAATTCGTATGTTTAAGTGCGGGTGACTCGTGGGTTCAACTTCTTTCACCCCAACTTTGTTGCTAGATACCAGCTTCTGAAGCCTAGGAAGCATTCCCCAGTCATGACCCTGCCCACCAGCTGTCAGGAAGTCAGGCCCCTCCCTGCCCTGTCTCAGTATCTCCCTTTTCTCCTCTTTGTTGATGGAGAGGAGAAGGAAGAAGAAAGGATTGGGTCCAAACACGAAGGGATGTTCTCTTTCAGCAGACCTGGTTTCACAAATGAAAGAGGACTGATGAAGTCACCTGGTCACCAATAAATTTACATGGCAAGTCCCCATATCTCAAAACCAGATGTCAACATGTGTCACAAACCTTTAAAATGTGCATTTCCTTGAACGGCACGTCTAGAAATCGATCCTAAGGAAATACCAGAAAAGTGAAGAAGGACATATGTCAAGGATATTAATTGCAGCAGTGTTTACTATAGCAAAAAGAAAAAAAATCTGAAAGCAAGCTAAACGTCCAGCCATAGGAAATCAGTAAATAAATTATATACAGCTTTATAATGGGAAACCATTGCAGTCATTAAAAATGAGGCTAAAGGAAGGTACTATGGACATAGAAAATGTTTATTACACAACTTAAGTAAAAGTTTATTTTAGTTTCCTATTCCTACTGTGACAAATTACTGCAAACCTAGTGGTTTAAAACAACACGAATGTATTATCTTGCAGTTCTGGAGGCCGGAAGTTAAAATGGGTCTCACTGAGTAAAATCAAGGTGCTAGCAGGGCTGCGTTCCTACCAGAGGCTCTCGGAGAGAGTCTTTTTTTTTTTTTTTTGCCTTATCCAGCTTCTAGAGGCCGCCTGCTTTCCTTGGCTTATGGTCCCATCCTCCATCTTCAAAGCCAGGTGCGTAGCATCTTCAAATCTCTCGCTTTGACCCCTGCTTCTGTAATCCCATCCTCTCTGCCTCTGACCCTCCTGCCTTCCTCTTATAAGAACGCTTGTGATTATGTTGGGCCCACCTGGATAATCCAGGATAATCTCCCACCTCAGCCTCCTTAACTAAATCACATCTGCAAAGTTCCTTTCGTTGTATAAGGTGACATATTCACAAATTCCGGGGACTGGGATGTGGACATCTTTGGGGGACCATTATTCCACCTGGACCACCTTCCACAAAGGATCAAACTGCAAAGTAATAATATACATAGGTAACTGTGATTCCATTTTTCTGTTTTTTGATGAAAATTATATTAAACATTAGCCAGTGAGGGATTTTCACAAGAGAATGACAGGAGATTTAGGGTTTACATAGGTACACACATGCACACAATCAAATACAGGAGCATACCTCTTGGTTGTTAAAATGGACATTCTGTGGAGCTCACAGAGTTCCAATGCCCCAAAGCTCCTTCTGGTCTGATTGCCACCTCACTTGCACGCCGGTCCTTTTTCTGCTACTTCTGTGCCCCTTCAGCAGCTCCAGGCGCAGACAGCTGCCGCTGCCTACGCTAAACCCTGAGCAATTCCACCGGGGTCCACGGGACAGCTGTTCCTCTCTAGAGTCTTGCTATCAAAGGGCACAGGACCACTCTTCTCTCATATCACACAAAGCCATCTGAAGTTTTGGCCTTCAGTGGCACCTGCCTGGGGAAAGCAGGGCCCTGGGGCTCCCTTTTCAGGGGTCCACTGTGCCCCACTGCTTCCCCAAGGCAGTTGTTCTGGTCTGAGAGAAAGGGAACTCTACTGGGACTGATGGCCTGAGTCTTCTCCCTGGTTGTCCTGACACCAATTCTCTGACACCAACTGGGTGCCCTGTGATTCAATTAAATTCTGACACTGACTCCCCAGAGTTGGGGCAGGCCACACGGATCAAGGGCAAAGTCCTCCACAAGACCACTCCCACTTCAGACGCCAGCCACAGGTTTCGGGGGCTGCCTGTGCTTCTGACCGATCTGCTATGAGTTCAGGGGTTCCCGTGAGCCCCTCAGGTTTGATAATTCACTAAAACAAGTCAAGGAACTCACTAAGACACTGCACTTACCGTGGCAGTTTTATTATTAAGGACGTCACTGAGGCTCAGCAAGATGGCAGAGATGCATAGGAGGGTCCTGGACGTGGGGCTCTCACACCTTCTCCCTGTGGAGTCAGAGCACGTCACCTCCCAGCACATCAATGAGTTCACCAAACAGAAGGCTCTTCCAACTTTGGATGTCCCGATTTTACTGGGGTCTTTTTATGTCATTGGCCTCGTGACTTAGCTATCTCTAGCCTCTCTCCCCTCCCGGACACCTGGTCTTTCTGGCATGGCCAGCCCCTCTCTTATGTTCAAGGACCACCTGGAGTCACCTCATTAGCATAAACTCAGGTGTGGTTGAAAAGAGCTCATTAGGAATAACAAAAGACACTCCTATCGCTCAGGAAACTCCGAGAGTTTGAAGTCCTGTGCTAACAACTGGGGACAAAGACAGCTATATTCTTTATTATGCCACACTCAGTTTTCACAACTCACAGGCCAGAAACAGAGCTGCCTGCTTTTCTCTACTTTCTGCTCTCAATACCCATTTCTTAGAGAATGATTGCAGAATGCCATAGATGTACCAAAAGGGAGAATGGAAGAGAAGAAACACATTTAGCTAACATTTACTCACCTTATGCTGCCACCCAAGCATAAACAACATACATATTCTCGGTTCCTGACCTTTCAAGTTCATATGAGAGCTCCCCCCGCACAGTGATCACTCATCTCAGATTTTCATTTATTTCTCTATTCAACAAATATATCGTGAGTTTCTGCAATATGGTGGGCACCAAGCCAGGCTCTGATATAGAGAAAACATAGCAGACACAGTGCCTGGTGTGGCGAGCTTATAGCTGAGGTGAGAGAGACGCCAAACTACTAGCTAAACAGTTCATTATTTCATCACAATGGTGCAAGAAGGGAAAAGTACTGGGTGCTGTGTGAGCAGGTGGCAGGGAGACTCAACTCAGACTGCAGGGTCTGGAAAGTCTGGCCTGGGCAGCCAGTCATTATGGGAGCTGAAGCACGAGTAGGGGTCACCAAGGTAAAAGTTTAAGAGGTGGAAGAGGGAAGAGGACTATCCTAGCAGAGGCAAGGTGCATGCAAGCTCTGAGTTGGGAAGCCTCAGTTCAAGACACTGAAGGAGGGGTAGTATGGAGCACAGAGAATGGGAGAGAAGGAGGATGCAGCTACAGGAGTAACCTGGGACAGTAATGGGAACCCTGTGTGTCAGGATTTTGGATTTTATCTTAAGAGCAATGGGGAGCAATTGAGGGGGTTAAGCAGGGGACAACATGATCAAATTTATGTTTTAAAAACATAACTCTGCTGCAGGGTTGAGAATGGACTGAAGGGAGCTAAGAGGAATTTGAGGAGGTAAATTTGATTGCTCTTTCTATAGTCGACGTAAGATGTGATTGTGGCTTCACCCAAGATGGCAGTGTGGAAGCAGACAGAAGTGGATGGCCATTAGGAGGTATAATCAATAAGAGTTAGTGGTTGATTGGATAGAGGAACTCTGCAAGAGGGAGGTGTCAGGGATGGGGCCTAATTTTCTGGCATGAGCTACCTGGTGGTGCTTTGAACCAGTAAATAAAGGTGAAGGATCCAATCAGGGGACAAGGTGGTGGGAAGGATCCGAGTTTCACTAATATAGTCCCAATTTCAAATACTCTGTCTTCATAAACTTTCAACATCTCTCAGAATATCTGTACTTTTGGTAACCAACCCGTATTTCCAGATTTCCTTTGATACAGAGGATCCCCAAGTTTTTTTTTTCAATCAGTCCGAGAGCCTTTGGATGCAAAAAATTTGGTTACCAAGTCTGTAAGGTATCCCCTCATGCTTGAGAAGTGGTGTTAATTAACCACTCTCCTAAAGCTTATATCCATTGTAAATTTTAGCACAATGACTGTAATAAACACAAGTAAGCTGTTTTCTTTTAGGCCAAAAAAAAAAAAAAAAGGAAATCTCAACCTGAAGACTTAATTCTATCCTGGCAAAGACTAGATCCGTCCAAGATGATTGTTACCACCACCACCTCACTCTGTAGTCTGTATTCAACCTTGATTAAATAATGGGAAACACTTGGCCATAATGAGTTGCCGGCAATTGTCAACAGCCAAAGAACTTTACCCCAAGGTCCCTCCTGCACCATGGCAAGCTGCCTACTATGCAGTGATTAACTCAGGGATGTGGAGCTAATCTGTAACCAAGTTCCAACAGAAACATTTTAGTACTGCTTGTCATAAGCAGAAAGGGATGGAGCATACTGAAATGGTTACTAACCAATTTTCATAATCAAAAAGCATTGTACCGCATTGGCCAAAATGTTAGTCATGAGATTAGAATCCACCCTCCCTTCAATAGTCTAATCCTCTTAAAAATAGCTCAGAGTAATCAGGTTAGCTTCACTGTAAATTTTAGTAAACCCATCACTCTTACAAAGGAGTTTCAGAAAAGGAGAGATCAAACAGTGTTTAAAATCCTTGATGCTGATGAAACACTGGGCAAAACAAATGTCTTACAAAGCCCTTATATAATTGATTTAAGTTAAAATATCCTAATAGAGATACATTTGCCATCACAAATGGGTTTGTACTCTGAAGACTCCCACTGTGGAAACAAATTCTGAGTGCTGGTTTTCTAAATAATGTGACAGTAACAAGAAAGAGCGTAGGGAACCAAGCACCCCACCTTCTAGCAGTTTTTAAATGGAAGCCCCTTGTAGCAATGCTATTTACGTCTGTGATGACCAAACAGAGTTGGGGATTGCTCTGTGACTTTCTGGAGAGCATCGTACCCTCTCCCAGCAGGCAATGCTGACTTGACAAGCAAACTCAGCTCAAGCTTTTCAATGCATCCATTTCCAAGCAGTTTGCTTTGGCAAATTTATCAAATCCACTCTCACCTCAAGACTCTCAAGCCTTTTTTCCACATACCATATTACAAGCCACAACACGCCCCCTTCCTACAGTTTGCAGAAGCACTTGAGAAGCTAAGAATAGGATCACAAATGGCTCCTATAAGTTCCCACTTAGATTCAGTTCTTTATTTAAATCTCTCCGCATCATCCTGGACCCTTAATTTATGATCTCATTGTCCACTGTCCAATCCAGATTCACAACACCAAAAAATTGTAATAATCACACCTGTCTATCTTTATTCAAGTTACTGATAAAAATGTTGATGGTTACAGAATCTAGAACAGTGTCCTTTTTCAAGTTCAAATTGCAATACGATGGCATCACCCAACTGGTCATTCTTCCCATAACTGTCCTTGTATCCAACCGAAAGTTTTCTAAAGGCTCACCTGAAGCTGAACTCACACACAAACACAGCAATATAGGACTCATGGAACTTACACTGAATGCACGTGTTCAGATAGGTTCTAAGATGCAGACTCCTCCATTGACTAACTACAAGGGAACAATTCCCCCCAGTTCCACTCCAGCTAACATAGGCTTCTGTGACTGCCCCTTCTTTGCCATTTATCCAGGAGAAGTCAACCATTCTGTCAAAAGTGAAACATCTACGACCAACACAATTGCAATCAAAATGCTTTTATAGTTTTGGTGAGTATTAGTATGATGGTTAATTTTATGTGTCAACTTGTGTGAGCCATGGTGCCCAGTTAAGTGATCATATATCATTCCAGATGTTTCTGTGAAGATGTTTTTTGGACAAGATTTACATTTAAATTGGTAGACTTTGAATAAAGCAGAGTGTTCTCCATAACGTGGTGGGTCTCATCCAATCAGTTGAAGACATTAACAGAACAAAAGATTGACCTTCTCAGAGCAAGAGAGAATTCTGCCAGCAGAGAGCTTTCAGACTTGAACTGCAACGTTGACTCTTTCCTGGGTCTCCAGTCTGATGGTCTTCAGATTTGAACTGCAGATTTTGGACTTGTCAGTATACAAATGCACGCACACGCGCGCGCACACACACACATCCTGGAGAACTCTAATACAATTGGAAAGTATTTTAATATGAAAAATGCAAAACTTTACTAATACATTACACAAAAACAATCTTATACCCGTAGTGCTTCAAATTAATCATTAATGATATCCTAATGGCCTCTTTAGTCTCTTTAAGTGGCTCACATCCATTGTTCTTCGGGCTTCTCCTTTTAGGATGTATTCACCTTCTTATTCGTCCTTGAAATCTTGGGTGAAGCAAAGTCTATAAATATTTCACCTCTGCAATTCCACTTTTCCACTCTTCTGAAGATATCTACTGAATCATAGGTCAAAGACACAGCCACTCTCGGGTGCAGAAGTCATAAGAACATTAATAACTCCTAGTGGATTTATGAGTCAGGCCTATTGAACAAAAAAATTACATTCAGGGCGCAAGAGCCCCTCAAGGCAAATGAGAAAGGGAAGCTTGATTGAGAGTGCTAGAAAGTGGAGCCGCTCAGGCCAAGAGTCCTGCACTGGACGCTTCCGGGGAGGAGCAGAATGGCCTTGCTGGATGGAGCATTCCCGGCTACAGTCCCTCCTCACACACACACTGTGGCTATAAAGATGATTATTTTTAAACGACAAGCGCTTTCTTAGGAGAGGTCTTGGTCTAATGAGATGCCACCATAAAGTAAGAAAACCACAAAAGACCATAGAAATACAGAATGATAGATAACACTAGGTAACACTGCCAAGTTATCTTCGCACTTCAATTACTTGTGGCAATAGGAGACAGACAGAATACAGGTAATAAAAGCCAACAATAATCGAAAAATCTAATTTTAGCAAATAGTTCAAAGTCTTCCCACAAGATCCTTTACCAAAAGCGTTGATAAGTGTTGCATTTGCAGTGAGGAGAGCCGCAGAAGCTGCCGGAGAAGACCAATTCGAACCCAGTCTCACACGGAATAGCACGGGGAAGTGACTTGGTCCTCACCTCTGCCAGGTATCCAGAGATCTCCCAGGGACTGGCTCCTGCTGTCCTCCAGAGGCATAAAAATGTGACATAAAAATGAGAAGGATGGTTTCTTAACTCACAACGAAAGAGTTCTTTACTCACCATGAGACTTACCTCTTCTGATCAGCACATTCTCTCCTCTTTGAAATCTCCAACCTGGAGAGTCAAATTATAAACAAAAGGTTGTTTGCTGAGTATGTGCTGAGGACAAGGGAAGGTTGTGGAATGATATTGTGGATAGTGACCTCACGTTGTAGGGATACAGACAAGCCTTCCAAAGAGACCAAAACATGTGTCAACTACTCAGGGCGTCTTGTCCCATGGACGGTGACGTTCCTGCCCCAGAAATGTCCTGCTCTCCAACTCTCACTCTTCGGGCTCCTTATTAATTATCGGCCCTCTGTTAACAGGCCTTTCTTCAGACAAGATGGTGTAGGATTGACTAGGTAACACTTTGGACATGCTTATGCAGCCGTAATTTCCCGAGAGTAGACATTGACATTGCAATGAGATTCAAAGTGCTTCTAAAACTCATTTGCAGATTATTGCATAGGGTTGGGGTTATGTACTGAATTATCTCCCCCCAAAATTCATATGTTGAAGTCCTAACCCTCAGTACCTGAGAATGTGCCTCTACTTGGAGATGGGGCCTTTAAAGAGGCGTTTAATTTAGAGTGAGGCCATTTTAAGTGAGGTCTTAATCCAATATGACTGGCATCCCTGTAAAAAAGGGGAAATTTGGACACAGACATGAACAAATAGAGGAAGACCATGCAAAGACACAAGGAGAAGACAACCATCCCCCAGGAGCAGATTCTCTGTCACAGCCCTCAGAAGGAACCAACCCTGCCGACACCTTCCTGACAGGCAGCCCTGCCAACAAGAATTTTAGATCATCTCTTCAATTTAGCTTTGTGAATCTTCACTTATCTGACAAGATTTCTGTGAAGATCCACAGTCTGTGAAACACAGCTCTTTATATGTGGAAGAAGATGCCCTATTTGAAATTGGACATTAAGATTTCTGGAGCTGCTGAACTGTCTCAAGATGTGGAAGCTTGGAGATGTCTCGTTTGTTTGGGGGAAAGTCTCCGAATGCGTCCTTTTGGTTTCTCAGATGTAAGTGAGTGCCTGACCGTTGTTATAAAGGGAAACTACGAGGTGACTTGGGGCAAAACCAGATTATACATAATTGAGTTTGAACTGTGTCCTTTTTGACTTTTCCTTGGAGCATGGGGAGAGGGAGAGAGCAAAGAAATGATTCTTGGCTTGGTATGAATTTTATAAAGAGCTATTGCTTATTGAGGATATATGTCAATCTTTTGCAATAACTCACTAGACCCCCAACTTGAGACCTGAACTTCAGGAAAGATATGAAGACATGAATCTTTCCCTAATGCTAGAGTCTGTGCTATGAAAAGAAAGAAATTTGGCATGGCAAGATGGAAGCTGCACTGGACTGTTAACATGTACACTGGTAATATTTGCATGGACTACCCTGGATATGGGAGGATATCCAGTTGTTGAACTGTCCTCTTCTGAAATGATCGTTCTGAGAGGCTGAGGGGTGAGAGATGAGCAGTTTCCCCTGGAATGAGTGTATATTCCCAGACTCCATCCCCCTAGGAAGAGGTGGGAATGGGAACATGGAGTGCAGACTTTGGCGATGGACCTTAGACTGGGGTTAGGGGGAATACATCTTCTCTTTGACCTTGTCGTGGTTGGACTTTGGATGTGTGCATATAATATGTGGGAGAGTGACTCTTTCTGAAAATTTCATCTGATAACAGTTGTAAACTATTCTTGGCATTGTGGTTCCCATCCATTACCCATGGACCTGCCACAGAACTTTGCCAATGTGGCCTAATTTCAGCTGTGCTATGGACTCTAAATAGAAAGACTTGATTTACGTTGGAGACAGAGACGCAAAGGGGGTCAGTGATGCCTCTTCCTATGGCCAAAGTAGTCGCCCTTTAGGCTTCACCAAAATGGCGGGGGGGGGGTGTCGGTCCATCAGAGGGGACTCCCCATGAGGGCCATTGGCAGTAGGGGCTATTTGGGTAGTGACAAGAAGACCAGGCTGGAGATGGAGGTCATGAGGGAGCTGAGCACATAGAGCTCAAATCCACAGAAATCTCCAAAATACCCAAGGAATAATTTAAGGAGGGACAGGCTCTTGCAGGGGGAAGTTTGAAGGGAT